ACGGATGAAAGTTGCTTACGCTGATCGTGAAGTCTCACCAACTCCTGAGCAAAAGCGAAAGATCACGTTCGGTTTCGGCAAAGCCGCCATGAAGAAGGCCAAGAAGTTGAAAAAGTGATCTTACTGTCATCGAATTCAACTCAGTTTGTATTGTACAATAATGAATTTTGCAATAAAACGTTTACTAAATGTTTATGGGTGAAACTGTATTCGCTCTTGGCAAAATGGCAATTGATTTAACTTTATCTCAAGTTATCAAATTGACCTGTGTTTTTAAAGTAGAAAATCTATCATTTAATGTCAAGTCATGTTGCTTATTGGTGTTCAATTAGTAGCATTTCATAATTTTGAAGAAAGTGATACGATTTGGTAGAATCATTTTAACATTTTATTTAGTGGCGGCATATTTAGGATGGAAAGGTGGGGAGAGAGAATGAATTGATGAATGATAAATCTGGAGCACATTTTATTAGCTTATTTAGGTAACATAACATTTGAACCGATGGATTAAGCAGACAATTTATGACCTTAGTGGTCTTATTTGAATAAGCAGCTGTTTAACCCTGGATTTTATTCTGGTTCGCAAATATACTTCCCTATTCGGTTTACTCATCTGTGGCAATATTGATGCTATGTCTGTGTGAGTGTGAATTATCCCATTTGGCTGCGACCTGACAATTCCCCCCCCTCCCCCTCCCACTGGAAATTTTGCGATTACGGCATCTGTGTTCCAAGAAAACGCTACTAACAAAATTCGATCTCGAAACTCCTCATTTTGGGGATAGGTTTAGCAACACATATTGAAAATGTGATCTGTTAAATAATAGGACTGGAATGCATAAGTGAATTTTCGCAGAGAATGATATTCAAGGATTCGATTTGAGCGTCTAGGCCTTCTTTGTTCGTCTATTTGAGGAAGAATTGGATTTAGGCATTGGAAAGAAGGTTTAGTATAGACCATAGGAACAGGTGAGATGGAAAGATTGGCCACGAAACACTAATGGGTTTAGGAATGAGAGAACGCACCCTCCTTGTCATGGACATAATCAGCAAAATGAGTGGTCAACTGACATTAATTTTAAGTTCTACCCCGCTACTCAAAATGGATTATTAAGTCAACTTTTAGACCAATATGGCATTGATTTAATGCGAAGAAAATATTTCACCCACTTGAGGGTTCAAAGGCTCGCTGCTCTTGTTCCAAAGAGGAAAAGATGTGACCATATTTTGTCATTGTTTAAATGCCAAAGTGGAAATGTGTAATGACATTTACCGAGTACTTTGCAGTTGAGGAATAGGATGTAGCCTAGGCCACCAGCATCGCCAATCAGTAGAGAAGGAGTTATTAGTGGTAGGAACAATATGAGCGCCGAGTGAAGTAAGCTAAGCATGAAAATGGCATTTCATCAACCACAAGCAGTTGAAAACAGCACATGTGACCAATACGTTGTAAACGGAGGAAGTGGCCAATAATGAGGAGTGGGGTGTGCGATAGATTTACCTCCACGTCGTCTATAAACCAACAGTTGACTTCTCACTTCAAACTACCATGACCCCACTGTACGGTAGTTGACTTCTGACTTCAAAGACAAAAAAGTCTATTGATCGGCAGTTGACTTCTGACTTGCAAAAAGTCTATTGATCGGCAGTTGACTTCTGACTTCAAACTACCATCACCCCACTCTATATCATATTCGACTATTTTTACAGTACTCACCTCACCTTTGTCCATATTCGACCATTTCACAGTACTCACCTCACCTTTTTTCTTAAATTCGACCACTTCAACAGTACTCATCTTACCTTTTCTCTTCGACTTCTCACTTCAAACTACCATCACCCCACTGTATGTCAAATTCGACCCCTTCCACAGTACTCACCTCACCTTTGCTCTACTGTCGACTTCTTCCACAGTACTAACCTCACCTTTTTTCTACCTATTTCTCACTTCAAACTACCATCACCCCACTGTATGTCATATACCTCTGACTTCAAACTACCATCACCCCACTGTATGTCATATTTCACCACTTCCACAGTACTCACCTCGCCTTTTTTCTACCTTCAGTTGACTCTAGCTACCATGACCCACTGTATGGCATATTAGTCTACTTCCACAGTACTCACCTCACCTTTTTTCTACCTCTGAGTCTGTATACTTCCATAGTACTCACCTCACCTTTTTTCTACATTTGTCACTTTTCCAGTACTCATCTTACCCTTTCTGAGCCTTTGTGTCTGTCTTTTGTCTCTTTTACATCTGTGAAAATTTCCCCTGTCGAATTTTTCTCACTTTAATGTTCCTCCCTGGGGTGTGTGATAGACTTTGTGTCAGTCTGTCTGTCTCTTTTACATCTGTGAATCACTCTTCTGTTTACCCCTCTCGATTTTTTGCCACTTTGATGTTCATTTTCCTTTCCCACCCCTTGACTTTCTTCTACTTTGATGGACCTTCCCTCTTCTACCCCTCGACTTTCTGCTACTTTGATGCACCTTCCCTCAACCCTTGGACTTTCTGCTACTTTGATGAACCTTCCTTCTGTGAAGGCCTGTCTCTTTTACGTCTGTGAATCATTATTCTGTCCCCCTCTCTCGACTTTTTGCCACTTTGGTGTTCCTCTTCCTTTCTGTATGTACTGAATTCTTCTCACTTTGATGTTCCTCCTCATCTGTGAGTTCCCCCTCTTGAATTTTTCTCACTTTGATGTTCCTCCCCTCTGTGAAGCCACCAGAAGTCAAATAAAGGGCTAATGATAACCATCAAAACGCTTCAAGTCACTAAAGGGCTAATGATAACCGTCAAAACGCCTGCCATTTGTTATAAATAAAGTTTTCCATCGTAAAAATTATGTAGAATGGTATTATTTCGGACAAAAATAATAACTAAGTGTTAATATCTGGCACTAATTGACTTATTACCAGACTTGTCACAAATTTATTACTTTAAAAGAGCGGGCATAAATGCTCCTTCACTTTGAAGTGTACCGCTAAAAATTAGTTACCTTGACGTAATTGCCAAAGGTTGACTTCAAACGCTCAGAAGAGGAACAATCTCTCACTAGTATCGTGATCTTTTCTTCGCACCACCCAACTTTCTACTCAAACAATCGCCTCCTCGACGACAATCCTACGACCTCCTTTCACTCGCCGGTCTATGCAAACAGACATGTCAGCCAGAACATTTTATTCTTCGAAAACCTACTCTTTCAGGTTCCCAGCACCCAAATCCCATGTGACGTTTCAACCGTTAGGCCAAGACCACGCCGCCGAAGGATTTCGGCCATTCCCATGGATTGCCGCATTTCAAATATTCGTTCAACAAGGAGGTTGATCACCGACAACTAACTTTGGGGAAATATCCGACAGAACATTCGTCAGTGGACCAAATACTGCCTCTCTCGTCAAGCCGGTCCAAAAGCATATGCGAAGCCCACGATCCTACTTCAATTCAGATATTACTGTCTTTGCCGTTCCGACACCTGTCTCACCTCCACCCAAGACACTTTAACACTCTTTGTACCCGAAGTGCTATCTTCCCTCTCGACTGGTTGATTTTGTATATTAACCTTTTGAATATTTTTCGAGCGTTTTCTTTGTAGTTTAGCTAACTACAAACGCTATGGGGGGGGGGGGGTTGGGGAACCATTGTGGGACATGTAGTTTAACACGTGATCACGTGAGCACACAACCAATAATCAATCAATTAATCAGAAGCGAATCAGCCATGTTAATCATGACTAACCTTCCGGAATGTACACTTTCACCACAATATACTTTCTGAATAAAAGTGTTCTGTGCTATACCTCTGTTTCCTCTATAGTTGTCTGTAGCTTGGCTACTTCTGGGAGTTTAGCCAGATAAAGGAGACTTAGCCATAGAGGTTTCTAGTTTAGCAATTCGATACAATATCAAGTATGAGGGGCATTTTGGAAATGATGAGATGCATCTCTTGCTTAGGACCCGTAAGAAACATTGAATATTGACATTTTGTAATTTTACTTAAGTGACAAATGAAACCTAGCCAATTAAAAGAAATAAACGTACCTAAATTACTATTTTACTTGGATATACGACATTACCTAAAGGCCACTAAATCTCTTTTAAATTTTGAAATTTTTTCTAACTGTACTGACAAGAACCCAAAAATTTATACTTTTTTTGATGAATAAGTTACGGCAAAACGTTTAAGTAAATTTGATCACTATATGTTATTTCATGAATCTTCACTAATTTGTATTGATTCAACTTTTATTACTTATAAGCCAATTTAAGGAAGCACTTTTCAACACTCATCTTAGGTAGAGATAGGTGCTATCGAAACTCACCAAATGAATGGCATAGGTTATTTAACCCCCTATTTCGACCAGACTCAACCAGAGTTGTTGGCCATTCCGTTCA